AACGGTGCGGGCCAGTGAGGCCCAGTCGGGGACAGTGCGGGTGGGGCCAAACTGTGCGCGGTAGCGGTCAGTGAGCTGCGCAAAGCACTGACCCGGGGGGTGGAGGCGGCCACAGGGGCCGCCGCTGCGCGGTCCAGTCTGCACCCAGTACTGGCAGGGGGAGTGCTGGGCCGGGCCACGCGACGCCCAACTGGGCGGGCCGCTGCTGCTGACTGAGCTCCCTGGTCCAGTCGGCCTCCACTGCTGCTGCTGGGTCTGCTGGCGCTGGCCCTGGAACTACTGCTGCCGCTGCTGCTGGTGCTGCTGCTGGGGCGCCCCACTACCTCCTCCTCCATTGCCTCCACCTCCACCTCCACCGCCACTCCCACCCCCACCGCCACTCCCACCGCCACCGCCACCACTCCCACCCCCTCCGCCACCTCCACCGCTGCTCCCTCCACCACCCCCGCCGCTGCTCCCACCGCCACCTCCACCACCGCCCCCTCCACCACCGCCCACTCCACCACCCCCACCACCGCCCACTCCACCACCTCCACCGCTGCCCCCTCCGCCACCTCCACTACTGCCACCACCTCCTCCCTTCTTACCACCCTTCTTGCCCCCTTTGTTGCCGAGGGCAACGGCTGCGACCTCGGATGCAGTGGCAACGGAGGCCGAGTCGAGAGAGGAAGCAAGGAACGAGGGGGAACACCCCTCAAAGATGGGGGGGGGGATAGTACTAGAGGCAGCAGCAAGGGAGCGGGCAAGGTCCTCCACATCAGTGAGATGTTTCTCAAAAAGGTCAATGGTGAGGGACATGGGGTTGACAGTGAGGAAGTAGTCACAAGCAGGGACAAAGCGGTCAGGGAGGCGGGTGGAAAGAAGGTACAGTGTCATCCACATGGGGGGGGGGGGGGGGTGGCAAGTAGGTCTGGATCGGGAGCGGCAGAGCGGAACTGGGCATCAAGCGAGCGAAGATGCAGGACACGATCGGGAACGCGGTGAAACGAGGGCATGTCAGGGAAAAGGAAGGGCAGCACAAGGCGGCCGAGGGACGCAGTGGTCGGGGTGGATTAGCGTTTGACTACAGCATCAAACAAGCCCTTGGCCGTCACCTCCTGGTCGAAGTGGGGCTACTCAGACATCGGCAGGAGGTCGGTGATGCAAGCACGGTAGCGTCGTCCCGCGCCGCCCAGCGACTGGCCGCCAACTGCAGCTTCTCAAAGCGAGCCTCCTCCACATCCGTCGGGGAGTCACCTAGGGGGTCGGGATCCTTGGGGGCGACGAGCTTGCCACTGGCGTGCTCCAGCAAGCGAACGTCGTTCTCGATCCTAGACCCTAGGTACAGCTTAAGTTTGCGAAGCCATCCTGGAAAATCGACCGGGCGACACTCCGGATCAAACGTGAGAACACGTGAGGTAGACATAGCCGGGTACGCAGGAACAACTAGCGTGGAGGGGTACTGACTGGTGCGGTCTAGTACAGTTGAGTGCGGTTCTGTGCGGTTGAGTGCGGTTGAGTGCGGTTCTGTGCGGTTGGATGCGGTGGAGTGCGGTTCTGTGCGGGGGTGCGGTTCTGTACGGTGGAGTGCGGTTCTGTGCGGTCAGGGGCTGTTCTATGGTGCGGGTGACCGGTGGGGCGGCGGCTAACTGGTGGGACAGCTTGTGGGGCGGCTGGTTTCAGGTGAGGCGGCTGGTTTCAGGTGGGGAGGCGGGTTTCAGGTGGGGCGGCGGTTTCAGGTCGTGAGGCGGCGGGTTTCAGGTGGGGCGTCGAGTAAGGCAGCGGTAGACGAGTGGGGCAGCGGGTGGGGCGGCGTGTAACTGGTGAGGCGATGGGTTTCAGGTGGAGCAGCGGGTGAGGCGTCGTTTAACTGGTGGGGCAGCGGGTGGGGCGTCGAAATGCGGGTGGGGTGACTGGTAACAGCAGGTGGGGCGGTGATTAACGGGTGGGCCGCGGGGCCTGCTAACGGGTGTCGCAGAGTCCGTTAAAAATCGGGCCGCAGGGCCTTCTGTCGTGGGCCGCAGGGCCGTCTGTCGTGGGCCGCGGGGCATTCTAACAAAGGGGCCGCGGGGCCCGCTAACGAAGGGGCCGCGGGACCCACTAACGAAGGACCACGGGGTCCGCGACGAAAAACCTCGAAGGCGACAGGTAAGGGAAAACGGCGACGGGCGACGGGCGAGCTAGTGGCGACGGGCGCGTTACAGGCGACGGGCTACGGGCGAGCTAGTGGCGACGGGCGAGCTAAGGGCGAAGCGCGGTGGGCCCATGGCGAGTGAAAATCGCTAGGGTAAACCTAGCGAAGGGCAAACCCTAGCTCTATACCATATCACGAAATGAGAATGTAAAGATTGACTAGAATGGAGAGTACAAGTGAATACAAACCAAACCTAGGGCAAAACAGAAACACCTAGACTAAAACCAGATAAACTACATAAAATATAGTTTCACACCATGCTGAATCACCCACTCACGAAGCTGCCGAGGGGTGCGTGGCTCCTGCTGGCGTAGCTGCTGCTGCTGCCCACCCTCAGTGCATCCGCCGCCACTAGCACTTCCAGTCGCCGCCCCATAACCTCCGCCCCGGCCAGCTCCAGAAAGGCCGGCTTGAGAGCCGCACGGTAGCGAGCGTCACTAGAGCGAAGGTGGGTCATGAGGTCAGCGACAGTGTGGAAATCAGACAGCTCAGGATGGAGGTACGGCAGCATGATACGGCCTAGGGCAGCAGTAGAGGGGGGGGAGTAACGAGCAACTACAGTGTCATAGAGTTCCTTCGCCGTACTAAGTTGGCCGAAATGAACTCCATCCTCAGGCGGGAGGGCATTGCGGACAGAAAGGTGGGCGTCAGCATCGCGGGTGTGCCACTGAGTACGAAGTGCACGGGCAGCTGAATCCTCAGGGGCAGGGCAAGTACCGGACGTGTGCTCTAACAGTGAAACGTCCTCCCTAACCATGCTCTGCAGGTACAGCTGGAGATCGTCGAGCCAACAGTAAAAAATAATCGGGCGACCCTCCGCGTCAAAGGCAAGGACATTAAGAGTAGCCATCGTGAGCAGCAGTAGTAGCAGCAGCAGCAGTAGCAGCAGTAGTAGCAGCAGTGCGGCAGTAAAGGCAGGTCCGCCGGGCAGCTAGGCAGTGCGCCTCGGATCGGCAGTGCTGCGGCACGGCGGCGCGGCTCGGGCAGTGCGGCGCGGCTCGGGCACGGCGGGGCAATGCGGCGCTGGCAGCAGCAGCGGCTTAGCAGCAGCTGCAGAGAGTGCAGGGGGCGTGCAGGCAGCGCGCTTAGGGGCGCGCGCGGGCTGTGCGGGCAGAGCGCGAGCAAGGCGGGATCGCGCGGGCGGCGCTAGCGGCGTGCGGGCAGTGCACGGGCAGGGCGCGCGGTGCGCGGGCAGGGCGCCGGCTGTGCAGGCAGCGCGCAGGCAGTGCGCGAGCGAGGCAGGCAGCACGCGGGCAGGAAAAGCAGCGCGGAGGCAGCAGCAGCAGCAGGCAGCGCAAGCAGTGCGCAGGCAGTGTGCGGGCAGGGCGCGCGTAGGCCTCAGGCAGTGCGCGTGCAGGCAGCGCGAGTAGGGCGCGAGCAGGGCAGCGAGCAGGTCGCACGTTAGGCAGCAGGCGGGCAGCACGACGGGCAGGGCAGAGCGCGTGGGGCAGCGCAAGCAGGGGAGGGCAGTACGGGCAGTTCGGGCAGGGCAGTACGGGCAGTTCGGGCAATTCGGGTAGGTCTAAACTAGCGGTGGGCCCTAACGGAGCGGTCCTACGGAGGATGGACCCGCTCTGAATACCATGTCAGAAATAGAACGTAGGAATGACCTAAAGTGTTGTACTCCTTAGAGTATGCCCCACCACAGCCTAGAGATAACAAATGCAATTTGACACTACTCGGTCGTCGTCTATGGCACAGTCTAGCGAAGAGGCAGAGATCTACGCCGGTGCCATGACTGCGCAGGAGCTTCGCTGGTTGACCTTCTTGCTCTCTGACCTTGGTGAGCGGCCTCGTTTTGCACCGACCTTGTTCACTGAGAACAAGGCCATGATCCTCGTGTGTCGAGAGCCTTGACTGGAGAGCAGCGTGAAGCACATCGGCGTGAGGTACTTTCTCCTGCAAGATTTGCAGCGACGTGGCCAGGCGCGCTTGGACTTCGTGGCCTCAGCGGCCAACGCTGCGGACATCTTCACCAAGGCTCTTCCGCCTAGTGACCACCACAGGTTCTGTCTGCAGCTAGGGCTTGTTGAGGTAGGCCCTCGGTTGCTGTGGTGTGGAATCTTGTTTCTTGCTGTACTTATAAATTTATATCTCTGTAAACTCTTGAACTGGCTGTGTGGCCCATTGCTTGTGCTTAGAATGTGTGGTGACTTCGTGATCCACCCTGAGCTTGCTGTGTTCCTTCTATTGACTGGTCTTGTGACCACATGCCTGTCATGGTTGTTTTGATGCCCCTCACTTAGCCTATGGGGGTGTGTCACACTATCTTTGTAGAACTATATATGCTGTAGTGAGTTGCATGTTACAGGGTACAAGAACTCTATCGACACTTTGCTTGTATCCCCCCTCCTCTTGACCTAATGCATTCATTCCTCCCTAAGTCTCTAGGCTAGTTAGTACTTGACATTGTGCCACATTTGGTTTTCTTGTATGTGATGTCCCCTTTGACTTTGTGCTGTACTAGATGCCCCCCCCCTCTGTGTCTCTCTTACAGGAAAATATTTTTACGGGTAAACATTTTCAATGACTTAGTGATTTTTCCAACAAACAGTTCAGGATTTCACGTGAGTTGAAGGGACTTGGCAGTTTCAGCAGATCAGTTAACATTTCTAACATGCTTGGGAGGTTGTCACTAGGGAATACGGTATTTGAGTGGGACAAATTTTCCAGCACGGCGCTTCTAGAATCGAGCTCAGACAAAGCATGCTTTCACAGTCTGGTTAAACTGATAAAGCAGGCTGAGTTTCTTATTTTCCAGCCATGTCAACGCTGGGCAGGGTGGTACATGCGACGGATGTTGTTTTAGCAGTATGGTTGTCAAAACTCACTCTGAAACACATGCTAAACAGGGTAAAACGCCCTGCAATCCAGAGGCCGGGTGGGGAGTATGGAGGGACAAGGGTGACAGAGTGGTATCGAGGAGGGCGAGGAGGATATGAAATTGCAGAGGAAGAGGGGGAGTTGGAACAGAAAAAGGATGGAGCAAGAATGGAGGGTTGAGGAGACAGGATGGTTGAGGTGGGGTGATTATGACTAGAGAGGGGAAGCGAGCATGATGGGTGAGCGAAAAGGGAGCGAGCAGGAGGGGTGAGTGAAAGGGAGAGCAGGAGGGGCGAGTGTAAAGGAGAGCGAGCAGGAAGGCTGAGTGAAAGGGAAAGGGCGCAGGAAAGGGCGAGCGAAAGGGAGAGTGAGCAGGAGGGGCGAGTGAAAGGGAGAGCGAGCAGAAGCGGTGAGTAAAAAGGAGCGAGCAGGGAAGGTGAGTGAAAGGGAGCGAGCAGGAGGGGTGAGTGAAAGGGAGCGAGCAGGAGGGATGAATGAAAGGGAGCGAGCAGAGCAAGAGGGGTGAGTGAAAGAGAGCGAGCAGGAGGGGTGAGTGAAAGGGAGCGAGTAGGAGGGGGATCCGAGGGAGCATCACCTGGTGCACATCTAGGTCGACTATCGCCACTCGCAGCACTCGCTTCATCGCCGCCCTCTCGCCCCCGCCACCGCTCTTGGCTCCCTCCAGCAGCCCTCTCCACACGTACGGCTGATTGCCCTTTCTACATGCGCTTGCTGCTGAAGGTGATTCAGGTAACACCAGAAGCAGTGGTGGGCCATGTGCCTGTTCCTGTGCCTGTGCCTGTGCCTGTGGTTACAGTGATGCTGCTTGGGTTGGTGACAGCACTTCTGCTAGTGGTGGTGGCAGTGACGGTGGCAAGGTGGGTGGTAGTGACGATGGCAGGGTGGGTGGCATCGAGGCCATGGCAGCAGGGAGGAGGCGGTTAGGGCAGTGGCCGTAACAGCAAGGTCGTTCAGAATGAAGTATCCCAACCTGTGGCCCTGAAACGCATGGCCTGGTGGATGGGTGAGTTGAGGTGGGCGATAAGATTGACACCACAATGGTGCATGCCAAGGTGGATACCATGGTCCTATGGTCTAGTGGTTATGACGTTAGACTCTGAATCTGAAAGGCCGAGTTCAATTCTCGGTAGGACCTGTTCTTGTTACCATTCTCAAGAAGTGCACTCTCACCTCGTCCCCATCGACCCAATACTTCCCAGCACCTACCATATCAAACTGCCTTTAAAACCCGGGGGCCAAGAAGGCCAAATTTGGTTCATCCTTCCTAGTGATGGTTGGATGTCCCAAAACGCCTGTGATTATTCCCTAGTTTTGAGCCCCCGACCAACATTTTGGACACTCCTATTGGACACTCCCAACCAACCTTCCTAAGGTTGAACTTCTTGGCCCCCGGGTTTTAAGGAAAATTCCTTTTCCTTACTTCGTGCCCCTGCATAACGCGTACACGGCGGTTCCTGCCAATGGCACCCAACAGTGAAACGTTACCCGCTCACGACACTCGACTCGACCATTGCTCCCGCCAATGTACACCTCGCGACCCAACCTCACGGTTCGGTTGGTAACCCGCGCTTCGGTCCTCCGCCTCGACAATTCCCAACCTCGGCACTAGGCCCGTAGCGCACCCCATTTTCTCAACGTTACCGTTTCTACGCTAGCTTCGCTATATATTGTTCGCTCATGCCTTCGCTCATTGGACTGTTTCACTCAATTGCACTCGTAACACTACTCCACATTCATCTGGACTCGAATGACACGCCACCCACTTACGCCACAATTTCAAAAGCCACACAGCTGCCACCCGTGCACATCCCCACCCCATCCCCTCCCATTCTATGCTACAGGCAACTCCCTCTATCACGTGACCTGATACCTTCCCCGTGTTCCATTTGAGTGACCTAAAAAAGCATGACAGACTTGCCGCCTCACCCTCATGCACTGGCAATGCAACTCTCGGTTATCGACACGTCAACCTGCTGTGTGGGCCGCTGTGCCACCCACCCGTTCACCGCGCACCCTAAACCCTAAACCCTAAACCGCGCAGCATGACCAGTTCGATTGCACGGTTGGCAAACGACCTACCCGTTGCAGCGTTGAAGTGCCAGTTGGAACCAAAGCGGCCTGTTTAAAACAACATATTAACAAGAGACAAACAATACAGGATGCAGACAAGTCAGGTGCAATGATGTAACAAAGGGTTATGGAGGAACACAAAGCATGACACACGTACCATGAAGGTAGAAGAGGGTCCACTTCGAAGGTGACCTGCTGCACTGCGACGCCACTCCTTCGTCCGCCAACTCCTTCCACTTACTCTCTGGGACGCACCCGCCCGGGCCGCGACCGAACACCTTGATTTCGGCGTTGTAATTGCTCCGTCGCTCAGACGCCTTGCGCATGGCCAGATTCTCCTTTCGAGGGAACATGCAGATGCCGTAATAGAATACGTCCTTCCCCACGCCAGCTTCCGCGTACTTCTCTGACAGCATCTCTCTCAGCTCGGGCCAAAGAGGGTAGAACTTCATCCACCAGGCAGGCGCAGCGGACGTCATGAACGTGAATGCCTCGATAGCCTTTTTCTGCAATCAGGGTATTCCGTTTGAGGGGAACAATGATTAGGGCAAACGAATATTGATACAAATACAGTTTGTATCAAAAGGGCAAACGAATACAAATACAGTTTACGTACTATAACATCCAATGTCAAAACAAAACAGTGAATATACTGACCGAGAACAAATGGTCTTGTTCCAGTGTCGTAGGAAGCAGGATGTTGCCGTTCGGGTCACGTGGTAGCAGTTGCAAGTCGAAACTCGGGATGAGGGCCAAGTTAAGGGTTTGCCTCTACTCCTCGTCGTTGTTGATGATTTGCTGCCGAAGTGCAACGACCAGCGCGGACAGCTCGTCGTTGCGCAGATTGAGCGCTGCGTAAGCAGCCTCCTTATCGTCCAGCGCGATTTGGAGGTCGAGTGCGCGCTCCTGTGTAAGCTTGAGCGTCGACGCCAGGTCTTCGTTCTCAGCACGAAGACGAAGCTCTGCTTGTGTATGTCAGAATTAGCAGTAGAAAGTAAGAATGAAGAAAGGAGGATGTTCACTAGCAAGCAGTTGAGTACATATAGGAAACCCTAGATTGGGCTGTACTCGCTATAGAGTACCCCACTGCAGGCTAGACAAATACAACATTCTGACACACCCCCATAGCCAAAGTGGGGTGTAATCAGCACAATGAGCAGGTATAGCAGGAGTTCACAATAAGAAGCAAAGCTAGAGGTAATCACAGCGGGCAAGTGAGGAGGAGGAGGGACTGTGAGAGGAGAGAAGATGAGAGACGGCGGCTGAAGCTGCAGACACACGGGCAACAGGAGCTGCTGGCACAGTGGCTACCGGGACAGTGCGCCCCGGACTACTGGAGTAACTGGCTCACGGGCTACGAGGAGCTACAGGAGCAACGGACCCTCGGACGACAGGCGCAGCAGACTCTCTGGGCTACCAGGACAGTGCGCCCCGGACTACAGGTGCTGCGGACGACAAGACAGCAGCCTCCGCTCAACCTCCTCCAACTGTCCCACACACCCCCCACACACCCACTGCTTCACTCCTAACTCCACTTGCACGTCACCCCCCTAGTACCACTCCTTCGGCTCCCACACACCCACCCCCCTCAGCGGCAGCTGCAGCACTGGGAGACGGAGGAGGAGGAGGAGCAGGGGACGACGCACAGAAACTGCACCCCCATACCCCCCACCCCCAAACCCTAATTCAGGAGAACGGGCAGCAGCAGGGGTGGGGCGCCGTCAGAAGCACGGGGGACAGCGGGCAGCGCAAGGGAAGAGGAAATAGGGCGCCCACGGGCCTGGCGCAGCCCGTACGAACCGCGTGCGGGCGGCCCGAGGCGCGCCCGGGCCTGGCGCAGCCCGTACGGGCCGCGCGCGGGCCTGGCGCTGCCCGTACGGGCCGCGCGCGGGCCTGGCGCAGCCCGTACGGGCCGCGCGCAGGCTGTACGGGCCGCGCGCGGGCCCTACGCAGGTCGCGCAGGCCGCGACGGGCGACGGGGGGCGACGCGCGGGTCCCCGTCGCCCGTCGCAGCGCCTCCCGGGAGCGACGCGCGGAGTGACGGGGCAGAAAGCCGCCGCGCGCCTCGGGGCGCACGGCGGGCAGAAAACCGCCGCGCGCCTCGGGGCGCACGGCGGGCAGAAAACCGCCGCACGCTCCGAGCGCGCGGCGGGATGAAAAATCCGTCGCACGCCACGGGGCGTGCAACACACAGAGTAGCAGTAGCAGCGGAAGCAGTGAGGTGGTGGGCCCACCCACAGGATCGACCCAAGGGGATCGACCTGCTCTGATAGCATGTCAGAATTAGCAGTAGAAAGTAAGAATGAAGAAAGGAGGATGTTCACTAGCAAGCAGTTGAGTACATATAGGAAACCCTAGATTGGGCTGTACTCGCTATAGAGTACCCCACTGCAGGCTATACAAATACAACATTCTGACAGTGTACGCACCGACGGAAGTTCTGTTTGTGAAAATAAAAAAACAAGCGAACGAGACGGGTGCGACATTGGGGCTTGGGCGAGAAACAATACTAACATTACATACAACAAGCGTCGTCAAAGGCATAAGCGAGCAACAATCTAAAATCGCTATATACGATACTGATTAAAAAAACCGGTAAAAATATGACTGCGCGGTTCATACCATAGCGTGCACGAGAAACAACTGGGAGGCCATGAGCGTTAAGATGCTCCACGGCCTCCGTGGCGCCTTCCGCTGTGTCTTCTAAGGGTCCGGTCAGATTAAGCGGCGTGGTTAAAATGTCGGGGGAAGGAAGAGCAGCCGCAGTGACTGGCTGAGCAGGGGAAGGAGTTGCTGTTCTAGGGTTGTTACTCGGCTCTACCATGTTGCCCTTCTTTTGTTTCTTATGCAACAACTCAGCAGGCAGGATGCCATGTGCCTTCATGAGTTCCATCCACGCGACGAGCTCATGGAGCTTCGTGACATGATCGCCGGCGTCGCTATCGGTCGCCGAGTCGTCCACCACTGCACCATTTCGGCCGAGTGTAACCAGACCAGTGGTGTCGTCCGGTGCCAGCGTTCGTTTCCCGCCACGAGCTGTGGCATGAATGCCGGACATACTTACGCGTTTGCGATTGACAAGAGTCGCAGACGATAGATGCAGCAGTTTATGGTTGGTTGATGACCAATTTTTTTCGGCCAGCATTGCCACCCAAATTCCAATTTTGCGCCAGCTGGCTGATTACATTCGCGATGATTGGTCCATTCATGATGTTGCGGAAACACAGCGTCGTGGCGCTGCGTCGCGCTGCGACGTGTTTGCATGGTCCCGTGTTGGCAGTCACGGTTTGTAACTGTTTCGATTTTTTGTTTTGTTTTGCAGCAAGGCATCCCTGCCCGTTTTTTTACAGCATGTCAGATATGTCGATTTTTTACCAGCTGGGCATGGTTATGTTGTCGTTATGTAATGTTTGTCATGTAACACGATATTACTTTGCAGAGGGAATCGCGGAACGAATCGGATTGATCAACAAAATACGCTGCGCGCTGATGGCGCGAAGTGTAAAGAAACAATCTTCGCCCACAGTCATGACCCACTGCAGCCCCAGCGGCAGCAGCATTGTGCAACACGTCGCGACAGTCCGTCGATCACAGCCACCCACCGTGCTGAAATATTACAAGGTGCGTGCCACATCTACATGCCTTGGGATGAAAGCCATTGTTTAATATTTTTGTTATTTAATTGGCTTTCCATTATTAAGAAGCAATATAGGTCTGGTTTAGTAAGTCCACTATAAAAACATCGGAACATCTCGACTTGTATTATATGAAGATTGGTTCCAGGTAAAACATTGAAAGTACGCATTTTTTTACTATCCGTAGTGTAGAGTCCACTCGGTTAGTAGTGGCCTAACCCATAAACAATTGTATCATTTGGATAGTAAGTCTAGAACATGAAGCGGTTAACAAGCCATACATCCTCGTCTGGCGCTGTCCTTACCGATTCTACTGCCCTTAGAATACTATTTACAGCAATCACACGATAGCGCTCACCAGCGGCTTCCCATCGTAGTGTTTTGCCACCAGTTGCACCGTCTTTGGTGGGAGCTAAGTCGTAATACTTAATGAAAGCATACGGCACCAGCAACCTCCCAATGCGGACCTGGAAGAATATGAGCAACTTGGCGTACCATTCCTCCTCTGTCCCAGCATCATCCTGTCCTACAACTGCAATGTTGGAGTACCAAGGCTGGCCATGAAAGATCGGAGCTGCACCGGCGTGATGAGGTAGCCGGCTGAATGCAGCATCAACGGCAGCAGGCATTGCCAATCCATTATGAACCTGGTAGTGGCAGGTTGTGTGGGCAAAGGGAAGCATAGATTGGGTTGTGAGGTGAGGTTGAGGGTGGCTGCCAGGAATGATCCAGAGAAGGGTAAAGGGGGTGTGGTTGAGCATAGACGCAGCCAACGCGACAAGGGGCAGCCAACGCACCCAATCTCAAGGACATTACAATTGTGTGAGCCATGATATCTTACATGTATTGTGTCGATCGTGCGCCCCGAGCAGGCAGGGGCATTGTTAAGTGCGCCGCGTAGGTAGGGTAAGTCGGCAGCTACCGCGTTGGTGAACTCCATATCTCTGCCGATGTCAGGTGTCAATGGCACAACGTATGGTGCCTCACGCCGGTTTTGAGGCACCAAGAGCCTCCAACTCTCGCGAGTCAACACACGTTCCCCTGTCCTGGTCAAGAATGGATGGATTAGTGCTTGCAACAAGGAGATAATCAAGAGCGTCCTGGTTTTTTGCAAGGCCATGCTCACCTCAACCATTCAATGTGTCGTATTATTTTCGCTTGCCGAGAATAGGAGCAATCGACTCTAGCCGCAAGCGCATCACCTCGCTGTTCATGATCTGTGACGTTGCTGTACGCCTATTCGAAGCGCAGTACGGGTTCTTGATGTACTCTATGTGCAGGTGCTCGAACATCTGTGTGGAGTAGTGCTCGGGCAATCCCGCTCGACGAATCGAGTCTATGTAGTGGCTGATGAGGTGCATCTTAATGAACTTCCACTTGGAAGTTTGCGTTGGAAACGTCGTCACTAGAGCAGTGATCATCCTGTCAAAGTAAACACAAGGATTTCAAGGGTGTCTTAGATCGACTGAAACATGCGATTATGGACACACATGGACGATACTTCCCAAGGTTGTGAAGTGGACGAGAGTTTGAGGCGAGGACTTACCTCTCAGCCTTATGCTTCAAATCACGCAGTGTCGCTGTCGTGTGCTCGCTCGTGCGTGCACAGAAGGTGTTCCAGTCGATGTACGTTGCGATTGCATTCATCTGTGCATGTGGGACTGTGGGCTCAAATCCTCGCACAAGAAAGGGAAGGACTTGCATAACACTTCTATGCTCAAATGCCTGGTAGCTCGCCCCCGTCGACAAATAATCGCCACCAGGCAGCCGCATGAAAGGATTGCGGTTGTGCAATCGCAGGTGTGCAAGCCTATCGTCTGCCCGCCTTTTCTGGGCGGTCGAGAGAGTCACACGCAAAATGTCAATAATGTGCACAAGAATCCCCAAATCTGCCTGGTGCATGATAACAGGCATAACGCATAAGTAGGGGTTCAAGATGGGAATCGATTCCCAACGCCAACCCCACAAAAAACAATTCACAGGGTGTGTAAAAATGCTCGACAATCCGTCCGGGTAACTCTTGTTTTGCAACACGGCGGTGATTCCCTTTTGCACGAGTGGCGTGCGAGGGATGATGCGATGGACAAGTTTGTTGGTCTGCGCAACAGGAACGGTGCACAACGAACACGGATGACTTGTGAGGGCCCCCGATTTTGTGCACGTCACCTTGCATGACTCTGGATAATCACAAGCGTACGCATATAATACAGGGTAAGCGGCGTACGTGGCACCACTCGGGTCCTGCACCCTCACCCCTGTGTGTGAGGCTTTCCTCAATGGTTCCATGACCATGGAGAGAATGTGTTGGAACACAACCAACTTATCGACAGAGTCGTACTCGGACGTGAATTCCGGTAACAATGCGAGCAACACGTGACCCCATGCCTGCCAACGGTCATGCGTGTCTATGTTACCCAATGTTAGGTAGACAGGATGACCTTTGGCTTTGCCACGTTGGTCCACATGTGTCTCGTCCCTCGTCAGGATCAGTGCAACAACCACACCTTCCGGGCCCACTTTTTGGACCTCATCGTGGAGTGTGAACCACCAATCCCCCGTCTCGGGTGATGAGTATACATGGGTCTCACCCGGGCTGCGCGGTGCAGGTTTCAAAACTAGCTTATCTGCGCTTTTTGGGTGCGTCAATAGATCGATCATCCCAATGACACCGTCGCAGAAAAAAAACTTTAAAGCTTTTTTTGACTGTACACGCACGACTCCACGTTTCCAATTCCGATGGGGGTCAGGAACGCGCTCATCGACGTAATTTTCAACGTCTCGCGCAGTGCGGAAAACAATCACGTCATCATTGAACTTTGAGCCAAGGTTCAAGATGCGTAACAACTTATCAATTGCACCTTTGGACAGATTGGACGTCATGAGGAAGTGCGCGAATGCATCAGCAGAATTGAACGCCTCGCTCTCACCTTCATCGCACGCCACACCACCACTTACACCCTCATGTTGAGCCCTCTTCTCTGTTTGGGGGTCGGGCTGTGTGTTGGTGGGGAGTGGGTTTTCAGGAGGGGGGGGATGAGTCTCATGCACAGGAGATCATGGGGTGCTTATGGACAACGACGGGGTGGGCATGGTGGCTTGTGCTGTGCGGGGTAGATGCATGGTGCGCGTCGAATTCTGATTCGAACTGCGATTGGCAGCGGTGATTCTGCACGTATCACCGTGGTGGTTTTTTAGGGGGCCCCGGCCAGAGAAGCCTTCAGGCCCAAATATTGTGCAAATATAAGCCATCCTGCAATGGGGTAAGAGGAGGGGGGGGGGAGAGGGAGGGGTGAGGTAGGGCTGAGGGAGAGATAAGGGGGGGTGGACGATGGGGGACGAGGGCGGATGGAGGAGGGAGGTTGATGAGGGAAGAGACCAGAGGGATGCGGATGAGATGGAAGTTCGAGAGATGAGGGGGGATGAGAGAGACGGGATGGGGCGGGGGTGAGAGCGACGAGGGGGGGAGGGGATGATGAGGGGATGATGCAAGGCCGGGGGTAATCAAAGGCGACGGGGGAAAGCAAATGCGACCGTGGGATGCAAGGGCGACGGGGGGAAGCAAAGGCTACGTTGGAAAGCGAGGGGGACGGGGCAAAGCAAAGGGTGACGGGGGGAAGCTGAGGTGACGCGGGAAATCGAGGGGGACGGGGCAAAGCAAGGGCGATGGGGAGAAGCGAAGGCGACGAGAGAAATCGTGGGCGACGGGGCAAAGATAGGGCAACATGGGAAGTAAACGCGGCGGGGGAAAGCGAGGTGAGACGGGGGAAAGCATGGGCGGAAAGCGTGGGCAACGGGGGGGGGCATAGGTGACGAGGGGAATAAAGATCGACGGGGGAAAGCGAATTCTACGGGGAACGCGAATAGTTCGAGGGGAGGGGAGGGAAGGCCAAACGCGGGAGGCGATGGCGACGGAGGAAGCGAATGCGACGGGGGAAGCATAGGCGACAGGGGAAATCGTGGGCGACGCGGGAAATAGAGGGCGACGAGGGAAGCGTGGGCGACGGCGGAATGGATGGGCGACGGTCACAAAGAATGGTGAGAGTGGGAAGCAAGAGCGACGGGGGAAGCAATGGCGACAGTAGAAATCGATGGGGACGGGGGGGATGCGTGGGCGACGGGGGAAAGCGGCAGCGACGAGGGAAGAGGATGGCGACGGGGAGAAGGAATGGTGACGGTGAGGACGGGGGGGATACGTGGGCGACGGGGGAACGCGACAGCGACGAGGGAAGAGGATGGCGACGGGGAGAAGGAATGTTGACGGTGGGGACGGGGGGAACGCGTGGGTGACGAGGGAAAGCGAAAGCGACGAGTGAAGCGTGGGCGACGGGGAGAAGGAATGGTGACGGTGGGGACGGGAGGAATGCGTGGGCGACGGGGGAACGCGACTGCGACGAGGGAAGAGGATGGCGACGGTGAGAAGGAATGGTGACGGTGGGGACGGGGGGAATGCGTGGGCGATGGGGGAACGCGACAGCGACGAGGGAAGCGTGGGCGACGGTTGAATTCGTGGGCGACATGGGAAAGCGTGCGACGTGGAAAGCATAGGCGACGAGGAGAAGCGTGTGCGACGGGGAAAAACGACCACGACGGCGGAAATCGTGGGCGATGGGGGAAATTGCGGGGGCGGAGGACAGCGTGTGCGACGGGGATAAGTGTGGGCGATGGGGGAAATCGTGGGCGACGAGGGAAAGCGTGGGCGACGACGGGAGCATGGCCTAATAACGGAATCGTGGGTGACGGCAGTGTGCGAGAGCGACGGGGGCACCCGAGAGTGACGGGGGAATGCGAGAGCGACGGGGTAAGGAGAGGGCGACGGGGGAAAGCGAGAGAGACGGGGTGAAACGAGAGTGACAGGGGAATGGGGGGGCGACGGGGGAATGCGAGACCGACGGGGGAAGGAGTGGGCGACGGGGGAAAGCGAGTGCGACGGGGGGAAACGAGAGTGACGGAGGGGGGATGCGAGTGTATCCTCGGGTGGTAAAATGTAGCTAAGTAACACACCTTGTGAGATGGCCACTTCAAGGTGAGTTAGCCGCTGAATCGAGAATAATCTAGCGGATCTCAGTACTTTAAGTGCAGGTAAGCGCAAGGATTTGTCGCAGATGAAAGCTTGAGTATCAGAAAATCCAAGATTATGGAATTCGGAATTCCAGATACAAGACGTTGAGCAGACTCATGACAGAGTTCATTGCCGCACGAGCAGCGGCTGTCGATAGGTTTGGGGCCAAAGCGTGGGAGTCTGTGGTGCCTAAAACTTTGCCCTTAACCCGAAGGGCTGAGGCCAAACACAACTCTTAAATTCAAGGTTAGAAAATGAAACGCACCCTTGCTAAGAAAGTACACATGGTGCATGTAAACCTCATCAACCATAAACAGTGGCAGGGTGGGATACCAGTTCGCTGGGAAATGCGATAGGGCCATAACTAATACTATTCATCCAAGTTAGGCAGCTAAACATCACTTTAGGCGTACGGGCCACCCACTCGAAACCAACCCGGGGAAACTTCAAACTGACCCGCGACTCACCCTGAATGTTACGAAGCGACACGGCTGGTCAAACGCAGGCGAACGAGTGAGAACGCGCCAAATCACCCAAATGCGAATTAGCGCGCTTCGCAAAAAGACGCGCAGAGGAAAAAAACCGCATTGACTACATTGTGGCGGGAAACACACGTGTCACCCAACATAATCAGCCGACTCGTGTACGACAAACCAAACGGAAGCATTGCTTATTAACATACTGTATGCACAACAGGACAACCATACTAGTTAAATCACAAAGACTATATCTTACAATATTGCAAGAACACCTTCACAGCAATAAATGGCGTACATGTTGACATGTCAATAACGCAAAGTGATCAGTCATAATGTGTATACATATAAATACAATCACTAAGAATACCATGAAAAGTATCTGAACAAGTCTGACAAAACATAAAACACAATATACCAATTACATAAATATACGCAATAAACACTAAGCCGAATGTGGAAAACCATTGTGTAGCGTCCAGTAGTTTAAACCGAAAGACCTCCCTAAAAGCACAGTACATATATCAAAATGTAAAACAGAAACCCAGAACACAAGTACTGTGAAGAAATGAGGAATGAATGAACTAGGAAATTGTTGGGTACAAATATGAAACCCTAGAAACTTGTACCCCTTAGTGTCTAACCCACTATAGCCTACACAGGCTAAGTCATATATGTCTGACACACCCCCATAGGCAAAGTGGGTGAGAACAAGGGGTCACAAGACCAGTCAAGCAAAGCAAAGCAAGCTCAGGGTGGATCACAACGTCACCACACATTCCGAGCACAAGTTCAACGGCCACAAGGCCAGTTCACATGCAGGATTATAAATCAAGGTGAACAAGCAAGACAGTGATCGCAACCTAGCAAGGGTAAGCATGCAGGTGCAGGTATATATAGATCACAGTACAAGTAAAGTCAAGAGGTAAGCAAGTGAGGCCAGGTAGGCACAAGACCTAACATAGTACAGAACCGTTGATGATCACAAGGCTGAAGTGCATTGGTAAAGATATCAGCAGTGTTGGCCTGAGAGGCCACGAAAGCAAGGCGCAGCTGGCCACGCTGCTGCAGCTCACGTGCAAGGAAGTAGCGAAGAGAAATGTGCTTCGTTCTGTGCTCCAGTCTGTGCTCCTGACACAAGGCCAGCATGGCCTTGTTGTCTACGTACAGAACTGGAGGAGAACGAGGCGGCTCTCCCACGTCGGTCAGCAGGTAGGTGAGCCAGCGTAACTCCTTTGCAGCCATGGCCCCTGCGTTGATCTCGGCCTCACAGCTGGAGCCGAGAACAGAAGACGAGCGGGTAGACCGCCACGAAACAGAGCCGGAACCAAGGCTGAAGGTGTAACCCTGTGACGACCGCTGAGTAGCCAGGTCGTCAGCCCAAGAGGCGTCTGCGTGACCAGTGAGGACAACTCGAGCCCGTCCTCCAAGCACGAGCCCCATGCCCGACGTACTGCACAAGTAGCGCAACACCCTGTAAGCAGCATCCATGTGCTCCTTCCTGTGTCGGCCAGGAGCAACATAGCGTGCTAGGATGCTAAGAGGGTAGGCTAGGTCAGGTCGAGTGCAGGTCATCAGGTACATGAGGCAGCCCACAAGCTCTGGATACGGGCCACTCGGCTCTACGGACTCATCCGAAGGCAGAGCTGAGAGCGAGTGGCGGGTAGGCAGAGGAGTGGGCTGTGGCGAGGAGTACGTGAAACGGAAGCGCTGAAGGACCTGCTGCACCATGTGTGACTGAGTCAAGGTAATGGTGCGCCGTGCTCTGTCCCGGGTGATCCGCAAGCCAAGATAGCTTGTCAGCTCACCCAGGTCTGTGCACGTGTGTCTCTTCTGCAGCTCCGACTTCACGTGGGCGAGTGCCTTAGTGTCAGCAGTAGCAAAGACCAGGTCGTCTACGTACACTAGAACGTAGAACGGCAGCAGAGTGGTGTCGGTGCGTAGAAACAGCGACGGGTCAGCAGTAGAAGGAGCAAACCCAAGAGCAGCAAGAGTCGTCCTCAGTGTGTCATGCCACTCACGGGGTGCCTGGCGGAGACCGTAGACTGGCCGCCGGAGGCTCCACTGGGTACCAGGAGGAAATGACCCAGTGAAGCCAGGTGGGCGGCGCAGCCAGATCTCCTCGTGCAGGCTGCCCTGTAGGAAAGCAGTGCTGAAGTCAAGAGAGTGAAGCTCGTAGTCACGCTGAGCGGCGACGTGCAGCAGAACCCGAAGAGTGGTCATCTTCGGGGTAGGGGAGAAGGTCTGGAAGAAGTCAACTCCCTCTCGCTGACTGAAGCCTCGTGCAACGTAACGCGCCTTGAAGACAGGCGGAGAACCCGGCGGCCGCTTCACCCTGAAAATCTACATGCCACTGACGATGTTCGCCCCAGGCGGGGGAACCTCGTCGACGTAGGTGCCTGTGGACTTCCAGGAAGCCATCTCTGCGTCCATGGCTGACTGCCACTGAGAGGAGTAGGGACCCTCTATCGCCTCTGCGTAAGAGCGCGGGGTCGGGATGTCTGGTGCATCCGAGTCTCCCTCAGGGGCAATCAGCATGGACACGAGATGAGGTAAAGCAGCGGCAAAGCACTCAAACTCCTCCTGCCTGTCCTCAAGGACGTCCGTGCCAAGAGCACACTCACCCCCGACGGACGGAGGACAGACAGACTCAGACTCAGCAACTAGACTAGCGGCGTAGTCGAGACAACAGTGAGCAGCAAAGTCGACAAGCTCAGCAACAAGAGCCGACGCAGACGTAGTCTCAAAGGAAGGGTCAGTGACAACAGTAGCGAGAAGACGCGTGACAGTAGGACTGGCAGCGCGAGCAAGGTCTGACGGCGGGTCAGGGACGTCAGGAAGAGAGGACGCGGGAGGAGACGGCAGAGGGACACGCTGTGGAGCAGTGGAAGGACGAAGTACCATCTGGTGTGTGCCGGGGACAGGAGGAGGACGCTGACGCGGAACACGACAACCAGTGCGAGCAGCACGAACAGGCGACGCAGAACGAGACTCAGGCGACGCAGGACGAGACTCAGGCTCACGACGCTCCGTAAGACCTCCTGTCGGACCAGTGTAGGGAGAAGGACCAGGGAGTGGCGAGGCAGGCTGCAACTGTGACTGCGACTGGACAGGCAGAGGACATGCTAAAGAGGGAGTAGGACCGGTAGCAGGCGGGAGACCAAGAACCTGCTGAAGGAGCGGAACGAAGTACGGCCGCGGCCGCGCAGCGCCTCCAGAACCAGCAGAGACACCACCAGTACCCTCAGCTCCAGGGTCTCCAGCTACAACTCCCGCAGCACCACCAGCAGCTCCAGCAGCTCCAGCACCTCCAGCTCCAACTCCCACAGCAGCTCCAGTACCTCCAGTAGGTCCAGCACCAGCAGCACCTCCAGCAGCTCCAGCACCAGCAGCACCTCCAGCAGCACCAGCACCAGCAGCACCTCCAACAGCACCAGCACCAGCAGCACCTCCAGTAGCTCCAGCACCAGCAGCACCTCCAGCAGTAGGCCCCCCAGCTCCAGCAGCACGGCTACAGCGCCGAGCGTACCACTCACGAAGCTGCCGTGGAGAGAGAGGCTCCCGTCGCAACGGGGCACTCGGAGGACCCCCAGTCTCAGCTCCCCCAGACTCAGCAACCCCAGGCTCAGCATCCCCAGGCGCAGCACCCCCAGGCTCCGCACCCCCAGGCTCCGCACGCTCAGGCTCAGCACCTCCAGACCCAGCACCCGCAGGCTCAGCACCCCTAGCAGCACCAGAGTCAACAGCTACCTCAACAGGCTCGACTGCGTCTACCTGGGACACACCTGAGGGGGCAGGACCCTGAGGGGGGAGGGGGTCAACCTGGGGAGGACAGACGCAGTGCGGTAAGGAAAGAGACGGTAGTAGGGAACCGACTCGTCAAACGTGACATCCTGAGAGGACAGAACACGGCGCGAGGTGGGGTGGTAAAACCGCCAGCCAGGCGCGTCAGGGGGGAAGCTAAGGAAGACGCAGGGAACGGCACGGGAGGACAGCTTGTCCGCCGAC